AGAGAGAGAGAGAGAGAGAGAGAGAGAGAGAGAGAGAGAGAGAGAAAGCGCGAGCTTCGTTGGGAGTAGTAGAGGTCGAATGATTTAAGAGTTGCGAAAAAACACACCGGTCTCGCGTTCTCGTCACTGCCAGTATCGTTAGATCGCTTGGTTAAAAAACGAAGCCGCGTTTTTAACCCTTCCATCTTACGAGAGGGGGGATAATAGAATTATCCCGGAAGGGAGGAAAGATAGAGAGAACATTTTTTTATTCTCTACTGCTCTTCAATCTCAAATAAATAATTGCTGTCATCTCGTATAATCACACGTATGTGAACGTAAAGATGATGACGCCTGACGATGAAAATTATTTATTTAAAACAGCATTTTTATATGCTTATTTTGCAGTATAATGGTCGATCTATATTTATTTTACATATTCAATGCATACACTATGAACAGAAAATCTAAGAAATAAGAAATATTTATTCGATAAATGTCAAGAGATTTCCTCATATTAATATAAAATATTTTTCAAATAAGGAAATATACATTTCCTTAAAACCTTAGCTTTTCATTAAGAAAAACAATTATCTATTCCATTAAATATAAGAATTTTTAGATTTAAGTAAATATGTTATTAATACTCACACCCCCAATAAATATTTTTTGCATCTCAGATATTTTTTCTCTAGTGGAAAGATAAGATAATGAATTGGCGACTCCGACGCATATAATTGACGAATATGAGTTTTGCCTCTACGCCCTGCAATTGAACTTTCCAAGGGGAGGTCGTGATCGCCATAATCTCCCCTCCGGATCCGTTTCTGGCTGGTATTTGGCCTGGCGCCGTCTGGCTGTTCCTCTCCCCGTCTCTTTCGAGAGAGAGAGAGAGAAGGCATTAATTAGCGCCGTTATTCCAGATATAGTACGAAGCGTTCATTGTCGCCTGAGATGCAGCTATGCGCACGTTACACCTGCCACGTTCGACCAGCCGACCATCCGAATCGACCGCTCACCGTCGTGACCGGTTGGCCGAGCGCGCGTCCGGTGAATGGTCGTATTGTTAATCCCGAAGCTAACACGCCCGAATTGCACACGCGCGCGGTATCGGCATTGCGTGTCGAGCGTGTCGAGCGCAGTACCGCGTTATTCTAATGACACCCACCGCATCCGGGAACGCGTGCGCTCGCGTCCGGCTGACGAACGTTTTATTTCAAAGAGGAAGAATTCGGAAAGTGATCGTGTCGTTATTTAACTCCGACAAACTGTCGCGGTGCATTCAAATACACAGGGCGAGCAGATGTCCCCATTTGCGAAGCAACGACAGATCTAGAGAAAACGTAGACTCCTATTTCAAACCGTCCCTGACGTTCTCGACGAGACTTCGCCCGAGCCTTCTTAGTTTCTCTGTACCGCCACCCACGATGAGAAATTCAATCGCGATTGCTGCTTCTTCTTCGTTTAATTTTTCTCACCGACGACTTCTTTATGTCGATTTTTGTACTTGTAGCTATGACGTAAATCTCCTTGACAAGAACATTTTTTCTTTTACACGTGTTTTGTAACAAACAAATCAAAATTCACTAACGTTTTCTAATTACTCCTCACATTTTAAAAATTAATCTCACTAATTTTGTCACTCCTTGCAATCGTGTGACTTTTATATTCACTCAATATCTATTCAATTTTTTTATTCACTTGATATCTAAACTCAAGCGTTCTATTACATTCACATTACTGTATCTATTCAAGTATCGTACTTGTTGCTTTATACTTTTTATGTATATCTTAAGTTTCTTTTTTTCCTTTTGTAAATTAGTTCCTACTTTTATTGTCCAGTGTGTAATCTTTCTCTGTATTCAGCTCGCACCTGTTCTGCTTTCTTTCTCTTTCTATTGTATGCATTTATCATCATTTCTTCTCTTCTTTCTTGCCTTGCGTAATCAAGTAGATTATCCGTTTATGAATAAATGAATGAACTCTAGCTTGTGTTGAAGTCGCACGCGAGGAAGCCAATTCAACTCGACGCCACGTTCGTTATTTCTCTTATCAGATAGCGTCCGCGCGTACAATGCACCGCATTGATCCGACTTCACGCGTCATCGACGTGCCGAACTTCGCCCTCGATTCGAGACGAAGTGACGAGTGACGACGCGTCGCGAAGAACGGGAGCTCGGACCCCAAAGGTATTCGGCGGCACTGAGCGATCGTGATCACCGAGGGACGTCGGGGCCCCGTTGCATTCCATGCATTCCGCGCGTCCCTTTGCTGCACTCGCTCGCACTCGACACGTCGCGCCGTACTTTCGTATGCACCGGATGCGCGATAGCGACTCAATGTCCGTCCAGCCAGGAATGCGCGCACACATCTCAAATGTTAATTCCCCGACTGCTATCGCGATACTAAATCTAAATCCGAATATCTCATGAAGTATCAGTAGAGACGCAAAACTCGATAGAAATTTTACTGATATTTTCATCGTTTTGTGTAAGCGACTCTTGACAATAACAGGATCTGACGCACGCGACGATAATTTTCGCGGTCGAAAGTCGAAATAATTTTTCACAATATCAAGTGAAACCAATCAACAAGTCAATCGTGTTTCTGCGAAATAAATTTAACTTTTATGAAGCAAGCTTTTATCCATAAATTATTTTTTCCTCAGTGTAGGTTAGAAATAATTTTTCCTCAAGAAAGTCGAAGTATAAACAGATTTTAAATCACAGGGAAACATATTATTCCTCAACAAAGACTCTACGGCCGTTCAGTGCGGATACCGATTGCATCTCTCGGAGCGAGGTAATAACGACAGTACGCGGAGCGAGCACGGGGTGTACGAGAGGCAGTAGTAAAATACCCAGATGCGTCTGTGAGTCCTCGCTACCTCTTGCTACGCCAGCTACACGGGGAAACGCGTGGGTGAGAAACACACCGTGTTACGATACGCAGAAAACGAGTAGCCGCGACCTGCATAATGCGGGTCTCTATCTCAACGTGCAGCACACACACACACACGGTGCCTACACTTTACGCGTGAACTGCGTTTAACGCAATCTCAATCGCGGCTTTTCAGACGCTTTCACATAGGTGTGATCTTTTGCCCTCCGCTGAAAGAGCCACACGGTGTTCCAGAATTATCAGTACTGGAGTGGCGTGCAACACGCTGCTGAGTGCGAAAGCCGACGCTTTTATCAGTGCAACACATTTGTGCAGTGATGATAAATCACGTTAATACATTAAACAACAACTTAAACTACAATTTAATTTTATTTACTCTCAACTTATCTCTCTCATAATTTTACTTTATCTACTGTTATTTTCTTTTCTTTCTATTTTCTTTTTATTTTCTTAATTTAATTTTGTCATCTTCTTAAATTATTGCCGAAATGTATCGCTTCAAGTTTAATGCGGCTTAATGCTTCGAGCTTTAAAGCTCGAGTGAAGAGAAGAGACGCCCCAATGACATAAGACAGACAAACGTGCGGTTGAAGAGCACGAAAAAGTAATCGCAACGAAATCCCGCGGTCAGCCGGTAAGGCGATAATGGAGAAACTCAAGAGCCAGTCCCACGGCCAACTCGAGTTGACTCATCGAGCACGTCTCGCCAAGGACAGCCGTGTCCGCAAGCTTCGTTCCGCCGGAAGGAAATACTTAGACTCGTTGCGAACAGCCGTGTCGATCGTGTTGCGCGATAATAATCCGAATCTCACTGACTCAATCGCCCGTCTCATCGCCAGGGATACATACACGTATTGTAGCGCGAGTAAAGGCACCCGAGGTATGCGGCTTTAACTTGGATATGAAGTATCCAACGTAGCTCTACAGATAACTTGTGTGAACTTGGCATACCATATTTAAAAATGTGACATTTTTTTTAGAGTTCTGATACTCTCTTGAAAAGTTCTAGAGCTCTATGCAACAATTTTAAATAGTTCCGGTCATTAAATACAAAAAAATAGACTTTTATAAATACTATATGAATACTATATGATTTTTTATAAATAAATTATTACTGCTGTCGCGCAGAACTCTTTGGACATTCGTTTTCTGATCATAAGTGAACGTTAAAAATATTTTTAAACCAATGGAACTCTCAAAGTGCGGCTGGCGCACCCCTCCTGCTGCTAAAGTTACGCGACCTCGAACACTTTATAATTTTTTATGAAGAAATTATTTCTGCTATCGCATAAAACTCTTTATATTTTCATTCCCTGATTACAAGTGAATGTTGAAAATATTTTCAAATATGCAGAACTCGCGAAATAGTGTTAATCTCTCTTATTTTGTTGTCGGTATTTCACATTTTGTGAATTAGGTCTTCGCAAATCGACTTTTCGCTTTTAATTAGTAGAACTATTGTTATATATGATTTAGAACTCTAGAACTATTGTAAAATAAACCGGAACTCTAAAGAAATAATTGATTTTACTGATTAGGTGCGCTTCGTGAACTTAGCGCACCTTTTTTTAAATGTCTATTTTTTTGTATTTAATGACCGGAACTATTTAAAATTGTTGCATAGAGCTCTAGAACTTTTCAAGAGAGTATCAGAACTCTAAAAAAAATGTCACATTTTTAAATATGGTGTGCCAAGTTCACACAAGTATTGGCGACTACCGTGTACACGCCTGCCTGACGCGTCTTTTTATTATGCTCGCGGCGATAATCAGCGTTCACGGCGCGGCGGGAAGTTCAGCGAGCGCGGCCGCATTTATTCTCTTCTCTTCAGGAAACAATTAACGTCCATTCGTTCTCATCCGCGATAATCCTAGTCGCGAGTTCCTATTCGCGATAACAAGAATATTTCTCGCCCCTAAGTCCCGGTGCTTCCTCGCGCCGAGATTTTCTTCACGCCCGTCGACGGCTGTCGCCGCGAATTCACCGAAACGTGAATTTACCGGCGCGTTTTCGCCGGTCGCGAACGGTGGCACAGAGGCGGAGAAGGGTACACTTTTCCCGGGCGTATATATCGGGGTATTAATGGTTATTACGTCGGCGGGGGAAAATTCATCTCGCGCCCGGCTGGCCGTGCTGGCAAAAACCGGCCGCGAAATTAATGTTCGCCGCGCTAGGAATTTCTTCCCCGCCGTTCGCCCGCTCGCTCGGGATGCGGCACGCCGTTGGCAGCCGCACTTGTGGTGGATCTTTTTGTAATGTGTATCAAGTTTTGGCCATCACGCCGGACACACGCCACTCCGAGTAATTGCCTCGCGAAATTGCTATATAGGACGGCCAAAGAGTTACCACTCGGCCGGGTTGCAACCTTTCGATGTGCGCGGACGAACGATTAAGACCCGCGAGAATAGCGCGACGATATAAAAATTGCATATCCGTGCATATGCAAGGCGTAATTCGTCTCAGTCGCGCGCTTGATGAAATTTCAATGGGGTCACGTAGCGTAGACTCGTTAAGTACGATGACATCCGTTTGCCCGATATAGCGTGCTATAATTGTGAAACAATTGCTTTCCCAACGCGTGCAAGGAGTGCGGATGTAATCAGCGAGCGGAAACTGATGGAAAAACTAGCGCTTTCCACAGTAACGGACGTCGTAAACTCCGTGTTAACCCTGCGTACCAAGTAAGGGATAAAGTGATATTCCGTGCGCCACGTCTTCGTGCGGATTGTGCGTTCACGCTCCAGGTGCTCGAGAAAAAGGAAAGATATGGGCGAGAATGGCTTCTCTTATAAACCGCGGTGGAAACTCGCGTAATTATGAAAAACCCTTATCCCTTTTGCACATTTTGCGATAAGTAGCGAACAACAGCTCAGCGTTTTACATAAAGGAGGGAAAATTTAAGAGATTGCATCGAGTCACTTTAAGTACACAAAATATTTATACAAAACTTAAAAATATTTATATTTTTAAGATCTTAAAGATCTTAAAAATTTTTAAGAAACTTAAAGATCTTTTTAATTATACATAGAAAAAGGAGATCAATCCAATTGGAAAGCTTATAAATTGGTCGGACTGTGTTTACTCCGCGTCGGAATTTTGTCTTGGTCCTGTCTTGCAGTTCATACAATTACTCCTCGCAATTTCTCGGAAGTTGATGCGATTTCCAAAGCTGCCACGTTAATACGACAGTCGGGACATATTAATTTGCAATCATTGATAAATGCTCATGAGACGGCCATTATCGCAGCACGCCGAAATACATCACCTTAATTGTTTTATTTCAACGTTATTTCTGTTTTAATTATCTCATGAAGGAGTCGAGATTTAATATCAGAACCGGAAGACTGTGTTCGGTTGGTTCTGAGGATGCCGGCTTGTCATATGACCGCGATAACTCGACAGCTAATAAAAGTCGGGTGTTATCGCACGTGCGTGCGCGATAGCAGCGTCGTAAAAGGGCGGATACATCATCCACGCATTTTTATCTCGCGCACATAAACCGGCGAAAAATGTGCAACGCATTTTTCGCGATGCTGTTCCCCGCCCACCGTTTGATCGTTTTTTCCCTGTTTCTTTATTTTTCATTTCTTTCCATTTTGAGAACTCGCGTTAATTCTAATAAGAAGTCCCAAGGACAATAACGTGCAAAGTCAGCGCGGATTCTATGCAGTTTACTTTTACAATTCTCACGGCTACACACACATGTACACGCTCCCGAGGAAAATTGCTTACGTAGCGCATCGCGCTGCCATAGAAAAAGCAATTTTTCAAAGCATCGCTCGATGTATTCCTTCGTAGAGGCATAATTCGTCAGCTTGTAATTGTAACGTAAAATGGTTCAATTAAACGTATCTATGCAAATATGATGAAAATAAAGATGAAAGTTTGATATACGATTTAAAATAGATATAGATAGATAGATAACACTGAGGTTCCTCGCAATTATTTGTAACAGTGCTACTAAGTTATGCATTCCCTGTATTTATTGACAAGCTTAATCCTTAAAAGGTAAAAAAGACGCAACTAGTAAACGATAGGAATTATTTTCTAATTGATTTTAGGCGTCCATAAAACTTGGATCCTCTCTGTTTTATATAGAAAGACATATGGATTATCCATTGGTAACAGAAGCTTAAAAATCACAATTTCTTAGATTGGATCTCTCATTTAGTGTCTAGAAGATAGAATCTAGCCATTTCTCGGATTTTTTTTATTGGTTCAGCTCGTCCCTCAAAATGGCGAAGCCGGTCACAGTGGTTCATTATATTATTTTGT